ACACCTGTCTTTGAGGTGGACGGTCTCCATCACACCTGTCTTTGAAGTGGACGGTCTCCATCACACCTGTCTTTGAAGTGGACGGCCTCCACCTCGCCCGTGGTCAGACACAGCTGCTTGGCTTGCTGGGTGACCTCTCCAGATGTAGATGAAGATGCTTCAATGCAAACCAAAAAGAAAAACATCCACTACAACTTGGTAAAACAATTTGACAATCACTTGACAGCTTCACTGCACTGATCACTCTTGGATTAATGCTTCTGAGTTACGACTAATAGGCAGTTATTAATTTATTATTTTTTTCTGTAAAATAAAAAAATTAATAGTACAAAAAACGGCTCATCACAATTTTCCAAAGCCCAATTTGACATCTTCAAATTCCCTGTTTGGTCTAACCAACAGACCTAATATTTGTATTTGCTCAGCTGGAAGTAAATTATGGTCATTGTTGCTGACAAAAAATGAAATTAATTGATTATCAAAATAGTTGCAGATCGACTAATTATTGAATCGGGGAATCCTTTCTGCTCAGTATCTTTTTTGCTGCAGGTATTGATAAAACTATCATCATATCACTCACCTCTCCTTAGTAGCTTACCTGAGTCCGACCATGAGCACCTGTCTCACTGCACAGGGACCTTGTTGTGGTCCTTGTTGGATCATGGGAGCAACCCAGTCCAACGTTCAGTCTCTGAGGACAACAGGAGGAGACGCAGGTGGTGGGGGTGTTGAAGAATGTTGGGTGTTTCCAACCACGTCGTTGGCAGACATGTTGCTGCTGTCTCCCTCTAGTTTGTTCTCACTTTGTTTCAGAAGAAAAACTCTCATCTGAAGGATACTGGGATCCTGTGACAAACACTGAAAAGAAACTTTAATAAGAAGTAAAATCAAGGATTAAAGCACCAGATGCAAACTATAGTCTTGGTTTGAGTCAAGATGAGAAGGAGCAGCATTTGTATGTGCTCGACAGTAAATATCTCCATCAGCTGACAGTGATAACAGAGTCTTTAATACTACTATTACTACTACTACTTCTACTACTACTACCACTAATAATAATAATAATAATATTGATCAAAGTAAAATGCTGTACTTCACTACTCTTATTTAACAGTTAATTACCCGCGAAAAAATGACCTTTTACGCAGCTTATTAAACACTATATATGCATTTTAAAAGAGTTAACCACCCAACAACATATTAAGTTGATCATTGGTTTCCCACAGTCTACAACTACTATTGTTTACTGTTGCTACCATTCAGCGGGGAACCAGCTAGGTAGCTGAGTAGGAATAGTAGGAATGATAAATGTCATCTTTAAATCTCTAATTTGTGATTCAACTAATGATTTGTCTTTGATTTCTCCATTTCAATCCCTCAAAGTTTTCTATTAAATCATGTGAAATGATTGTGTCATGCAGCCTGTTGGCTCATACGTGTTATTCAAAGATAATATTAAATGTAGAGAAAGAATGTATTTACAATGATAAAGAAATATTTATTATTATAAACCAAAAAAATAATAAGTTTGAAGTGAAATATTTTCTTACAACCATCCACTTCAAAAAATGTGCCTTATCTGTTAAATAAAAGCTTTTTTGATAATAAAGTGACTGGTAAGGCAGGAAAAACATTGGGTTCCGAAATTACAGATGAAGTGTTTCTAACCTGGGACCTAAAGAGGTCACGAAGTGGAGTATGACATGAATAAATCACTTTTTTTTAACGACAGTTGACACCGGTCCCCTGTGCCGCCGCCCTCTACGGTATTGAATATTAAATATTTATGCAACGCCCCTATGTTGTATAGTGATAATTAATGATCCTTGAAGTTTGAACCCTTAAAATACACCCTTTAATGGCTGCGGAATGAGTGAAACAGTTGCTAAATGTAATTTCACACTTACTAGTGATTAAAAATACATCAAATATTATAACCCATTCTACCAAGTGTGTAACGTTACATTTCCCGATGGACTAGGCGTCGTTAAATAGCGGGTTTTTTAATTGAAGTTTGGCGTCACGCTCTCTCCGTACACAGCCGGACCCCGTGCCGCTGGGCTGGACATATCCGGTGTCCCCCACTGAACAACCTGCAGCCCGCAGCCTGAACGGAGCGGAGTGTGCCCCGTTAAGTGAGTCGATACAATGCGGAGCTAGTTAAGACTACCGGGATGCTTTCACGTAACGCTAATGTCAGTGTTGACCGATGCACGTCGGTAAGTCGGTGGCCAACGCGGCGGCAGGAGGCACTGACGGCTTCGAGGTCAACTTGAAAACTAACGGTCTCCGTCCGGTAAGAGTCTGCGGATGGCTTGCTCGCCAGCGAGACCAGCTAGTCGTGCCTGCTGGCTACTTGATACAACGTTATTACATTTATTTAATTTCCCCTGACAGTCCATGTTGTCATATTCATGTCGTGTATTAAAAGGCAGCGCGTTTTTCTTCATCTCCCACCGCCAGCCGGCCAGCCGGCCGGAGGAGTAGCGGTGGTTATTACCGTAGCTTTATTACCGTAGCTAACGTTATATTACCGTAGCTAAAATGCGACCATTACTGTGGCGACAGCCGAACATAGTCTCTGAGCTGCGTTAACGCTAACTTAGCTGTTTGCTGCAATAACATCACCGTGCTTAATTTTTTTGGTGTTAGCGTCAGAATTGACACCGTTTCTCTAATGTTGCGTTCACTGTCAGTTGTTTTCCAATATGGAAACCCCGTCACTTCACAATACTCCATTTAACGTCCAGTGTAAATGTGATGAAGTGACCTAACGTTAGTGGTTAAGCTGGTTCCCCCTACTGACTCACCACTGCTGTCCTTATTCCTACTAAGTTTTCCTCACTGTGTCTATATTTGCCAATATTAAATATCACAACAGTTACACGACAAATATCGTGAAAATCGGACGCAGATAAATCTCCTCGCGTGGAACCAAATTGGCCTCCAAGCATATTGAGTTGCCGTTTTTCTAAAGTCAAATTCAATGAGAAACAAACTGTGAAAAAACATAAAGAAACGTTAAATCTTTATGTTAAAAAATGTTAAAGAAAGCAAAACGGTGTGGTGACGTGTGTGTGTGTGAGACAGAGTAAGCCTACTCTAAATACTACACACACTGTTTCTGTAATTAGACTCACAGTGTCACATGTTGCATCTCCAGTAGAATAAAATAATAAACTTTGTATAACACTACTGGATAGTAAAAGATGAAGCAATTTGGTAAAAATTGAAATCAACTAATGAATATAAATGATAATACGATTGCTAGTAAATCCCTCTATACTGTATATGATTATATATTTTTATTTCTTTATTGCTTTTTAGTGCAGATGGAGTGTGTATGAATAATAAGAAAAGGGGAATTGAGTCAGGGAAGTGGTAAATAACAAAATATTACTCATTATTACAATTTAGTCACAGTTCTACCTTGGCTATAACTGAACTGGCACAAAGTAGAGGAGCTCCAGAGTTGAAGGATGATACCAGTAGTTTTATATTTGCAAAACATGCTGCAAAAAAGTCCTCCCTTAACATGCATGGGGAAAATATGCACTGTGGGCCCCTATTGGCCTTGCATTTCTCCCATGTTCTGTGCATCGTGTGCAACACACTTTTATTTAGTGATATTTAGAGTTATTTATGACTCGGGTCTCCTGTACGAAACAGAGCCAAAAGATAAGGTGACCATGCAGGAGTTGCCTCAAGGCATCTTGTTACCAACATTTGAATCAACTTTCCATGCTATCCTCACAAAATGGCTTACACATACAGATATACAAATTCACTGACTCACATACAAATTAAGGTGGCATATCATAATTTTACACTAAGCTACTATCTAAATATACATCAACAATCATATTTTACATAGAGGATTCCTAGCATGTCTCTTTTAGCACTGTTTACAGATGCAGTGGACACTTCCAGGACCAATACATTATGGATGGATGATCTCCATTTATTAATAGACAGAGTATGTGGGAGTGTCCATTCCTTTTCAGATCAAATAAGAGAAGAGCCATTGTTCAGCATGAAAATGATCAGGAGGCACGGTATCGGATGCGATGTCAACCGTATCAAGCCCATTGGGCCTTAAGGCATCTTTCATTTCAGTTCACATCACGCTTCAGTGGTGCATACAGTTACTAGGACCCGAGTGGACCCGTCGTGACGAAGCCTCCGCACAATCTCCCTGGCTGGATTGCTACAAATGAAGTATCCTCCACAGGAAGACATGGGATGAATTTGACACTTCTGCTGACTGGGGCAGAGTCTCAGGCAGTCAGCGTCCATGGGGGATTGTATTAAGTAACAAAAAGCCGTGTATGAGCACAGGACTAACACGATTATTTCCTCCACAAACAGGCACCGGTGTGGGACGGGCCATGCATGCTAGCTGGAGATGAGAATGAAACCCAGTCGCCAATTCTTCCTGGGCCTGTGCTCCATGCTGGCCCTGGGATTCCTCTACTACTCAGGGAGGATCAGTTTACGAGGCTGGGGCCATGATTCATGTGAGTATTTCTCTGATAAGATAATGTCATATAAAGTATAACCTTTATTTGTTTATTTCATTAATAAGTGGCAGCTGCACCTGAAGTGTGACACAAGTCACACGGGCATCAAACGACAAAGAAACATCAAGTGAAAAAGGAGCATAGAACAAATCTAATAACCACAGTAGGGCTGGGCAATATCACTTCAAAGCAATATCACCATTGTCATCACACTTTATATCAGTAACGGTTAATAAACATTATCTTATCAGATAAACTTTTGAACAAGATTCCGAACAATAAATCATGGATTATGGCCACAGACTGTATATATGAAGTGGACGTTTTGAGGCCTCAAGTGTGGCATTTTGTCCGTCGCCATCTTGGATTTTTCTGACCAGTGAACAGAAGTTACCATAGTTGGACTGCGGAGGAGTGAAGTGGAAAGCTCTGTTAGCGGTAGCAAACTGACAATCACAAGGTAGCCTGCCCTAAATCATACTCTGCTTTATGGTCTATTTGACTCTAAATGGACCATAATTTACTAAATGAACATCATGCTGTATTGAAGAAGACTTTTTCCAGTCACTCATGTGAGAATATTCAAGATTATACAGATAATGGAAATCCACCACCATCAAGTTATTGTGAGTGTTTTTTTATTGCGCTGTAAGGTATGGTCCCTGTCTCCGGTACGGTTTCTCTCCATAGATCTGTCTGTTGGCTGTTGTTCAAGAGGTGCTTAGTTAAGTGAACGTACATACAGTAAAATCATCTCCTGCATTCCGTCTACGTCATCTTCCGTTTACATTGACAACAATGAACAATGGGGGGTACGGACTGTGTGACAGCACCATAACTTCTGCTGGTGAAACAATGCCTCCTTAAGAACTCAGCAGACTCTGACTGTGTATTTATGACTGTAGAGTTAGATTCTGTGTTGTTCTAAAGGGGAAGTGAGAAATGAATTCATCAAACATATCTATGTGACTAGAATTAGGTCGGTGAGAGAGTCATAATGTACATTGCCTGGCCCTCAGTCCTTTTTTTTTGGATTGAGAACACGGCTTTACATCCTTTATTGCAACATTAGCATTAATCGAGACCCTGACCAAACATTTGCTGAAGTATTCATCATTTTGGTGTTGTGGATGGCAGATGTTTCCTCTTTGCGCTCCCAAATCCACCCAATCTGTCGCAATTCTTCTAAAACACTTTTGCCACAAAATGTATCATAAAAATAAATCAATAACTGAATGAAAATTGTTGGTTGCAGCCCTGGTAGTGTTGGTGGTGTCATCAACATGATGTCTTTTTCTACCAGATGGGGGAGCCAGTCGGTTTACTTAGAGACAGGATGTTTCATCAGAGGCTTCAGTTTGCACTGTTATACTGTTTCAAAGAAGAAAAGCAACAGACATCCATCCTTTACTAAAATCTGGGAAATGAACCAACTTATTTCAATTTTATTGTTGCTTTTCTTCCATAAGTAAACATCTTTTTCTTTTCAGTCCGTTACTTGCAACTCAAGTTCTCTGAAAATACACTTAATTAAGAATTTACATTTTTATTTTCATTAAATTGGATGTCTGTGCACTGCTGGCTAGTGGTGAAGGCCTTCACTCAAAGTTCACAGAAGGGCTCCATTAGAAAAGTAGAGCCAAACTATTAGTTATTCAGTGAACTTAAGCTTTTCCCCAGTCTGTAAACTTTTGTTAGCCAGAAAAAAGCATGAGCCGACAATTCAGCTGTAGATGCATCTTTTCCAACCAGCCGTAGATGTTATGGCTTGTATATAATATCCAACAGTGAAGCAGTGGCTAGTCCTCGATCTGATTTGAAAGGTGCCATACCTCTTTCAAAGATGGAACATCCATCATCAATCTGAGTTTCATGAATTTCTGAGGAGTTCCTTAATACCATGCAGACATGGGCCACTGTTATAAATGTGCACATGTATAAATTGTTCACAAAATATAGTGTAACATATATAATACGGCGAGTAAGTTAAAGCTGATATTAGCAAACATATTTATCAATGAATATGACTGGAAAAGAGTCAAATTAGGCAGAAAGTTCAGGGTCAGAGAAACTGAATACTGTGCTCGACAAACGTAAATGAGACCCTTTCCTTATTCAAATGAAGGGGGAGTTGTTGGCCATTGCAGAAGAGACTGCATTTCCCAAAGTTCTTAAAGAACTTAACAGCCACTGAAAATCCTGTTTTTGCTGAGCTCCAGTTGTTCGTGTAGCATTTACTCAGAGCAAGGTCCGTACCTCCATGGCATCATGACAATATGATCATATCCAGTTTATGAAATTATATTGTGGAAATGATTCCAAAAATCAGTTTATTCTGACTTTTCTCACTCAAAACCACATGCCAGGATGGTGCGGACGTTTCTATTAGATGCAAATGAAATCGAGGAGACTACAGAAATATTGCAGACAAAAAAACCAATCGGTTGCTATGGCAATACACAATCATAGTGCACATTGCAATGGAAACAGAGGAATGCCACAGTGAACTGTACGGTTTGATTAGGTTGAGCCCTAACGACCAGAACTGAAAACACTACAGAGCAGCTTCACCACCCGACAAGAAAGCGAATGTAAAGAGGAATGAGACGTGCATCATTCATCACGTACACCTAAGAACTTCAACAACCCCATAGAAAACAACAAGTTCTTTATTTCACTCTGGGTTTATTTAAGGCAGAGAAAGTACAATAAGATTTATAAATATCTTTTACATGAAAAGATGTAACCTCTATTGGTAGTAGCATTGTAATAACAAACAGAATCATTCAAAGCAGAGCAAATTCAAATTCAAAGGTGTACCTGTGTGTGTTGCATTTTTCAGTTGCCGTTTATCATGAATGTAGCTAGGTAGGCTAGCTGATCAATAGCTTCTCTAACCAGGGACACAGCTGTCAATGGGCTCATTGAATTTTGAATTGTCCATATTTAGCTTTCACCTATGCACACATTCAGTGTTCAGATTAGAGTTTTTTGGCGGTGTCCCTTTTGCGAAGGCCATGTATCACATCCACCAAAAGCATCACATCCTGATCTCTACCTTAGTGGCACAAGCTTTACAAAGTTCATCAGTATCTGCCGTCGGTACTTCTTCCCAAAAGCAGCTATTAGTGTCAGGGCTGCAGGACTTTTGATGAAATGAGAAACACAATTTCTTTTTCAGAGAAAGAGTTTGTTTTCTTCCGTAACCAAAACAAATTATAACTATTTTCACATTTCTTGTCTGTAAAAGTGTCCCTATAAAGAAATTATGCGAGTATATGGAAGGTTTAGGCTAAACGTTGCTACGCGATATTTGAAAGGTCACGTGCGTCTGCATACACATGGCTGTAGAATTGAGAAGACAGATTGTTTCGTACTAAACATTACAAAACATAATACTTACTATCAAGTTAGGATATTTTTGAATCATTTGCAATTGTTTGGAATAACAAATAGGACCTTGCTAAGGACATTTGACACCAAATGTAATGGAACTGTACATTTGATTCAGGTCTGCCACTTTTGCAAAAAAAAAAGTTAATTCATTGACTGCACAATAAGCAATTTGATATTGTGTTTTTACAGCCTACACTAAGGGCAACTCACATAGACGTACTTGTCTTGCATGCCGTTACCGTCAGCATACCTAGCAGAGTAATATGTTCGCCAAAACTTCAGCTCCATTCATTTTGTTAATGTAACACCGGGTGTAGCCGAGGCTATTTGGTTTTCCAAGGTTGTCCACGCAAACAGAGACTCACCCACAAACTCTTTGGATGCTAAATGACTGTAATGATTGCCTTCTCCGATTTCAAACCCCGCCCTAAAGCATACTCTGCTTTATGGTCTGTTTGACTCTAAATGGACCATCATTTACTAAATGAACATCATGCTGTATTGAAGAAGACTTGAAACTAGAGATTGAGACCATAAACTCATGTTTACAATGTTTACTGAGGTAATAAATCAAGAGAGAAGTCAAGTCATTTTCTCATAGACTTTTATACAATCAGAGGAGTCGCCCCCTGATGGACATTAGAGAGGATGCAAGTTTAAGACTCATATATTATGTACCCATATATAATATATACCACCATATATACCCATATTGGCTTAACTCTTCAGATCCGGAGGTTACCGCCTGGTCTGACCACTGATTACCCTCAACCCTCCCCTTTCTGATTGCATATGCTCATGAAACAGGTCTCCCCATTCAAGTGTAGTGCAAAGTGGGGTTTTGGTCCTCCTTTTCTTCTATTGACAGAGAAGCTCATCTCAATCAGTTTCCCCACACCTTTCGCCCTACTGACTTGGCCTCCATTGCACATTTGTTTGGAGAGTTCGCCATGTTAACTAAACCAATGAGTGCAGTGTAGTTGAGTGCAAGTGGAGAATAGAATAGGAAGTCTGTCATTCTCCCACTACAGATGACCACAGACTGGACTGAGTTAACAGATGTGTTGAATGACTTCAAGGTCATACAAATAACTATAATATCCTAAATCATATTTTCTTCACTTCTCTTTGTCTAGTGTATGACCAACAGGGGTTCCTTGTGAAGCTGGATGGTGTTAGTCTGTAAGTATACATTTTACCATTTATATACTATATTTAAACCTTATATTTATATATAAACTGCTTGTTTTCAGGCACCGTATCAATGGTGGCACGAAGTGCATGGGCCAGCACTGTTGAATTGTCCCTACTGTTATTTACATTTCTGTGTAACATGTGCCGTGTGTATAATTTGTGTGTGAATATTCGACCATCACTTGACTCGATCCCCCTATGTCCACAGGCCGCTGGAGCTGATGTACAAGTACGGCAATCTAAGCGAGGGAGCCTGTAAGCCTGGTTTTGCAGCTGCCAAGATGACGGCCGTTTATCCAAAGTAAGAATATGCACAAGCCATCAAACATAGGTTGTTAGATACGACATGATCAGTGTGACCCTGGTGTTATCGCTTGTGCAATCACTGGTCCATCACATGCTTGTGGTAATGTTGGTGCTTGGGTTCTCCTAGAACATGATCACTACTTAGTTTGTTAACTTATCTAGTCTTTACAAATGTCCCCTCAAATGCATGATGTACACAGTGTAAGACAAGGTCACAAAATGAGACTGCCTGTTGTTGCATTTTTATAAAAGAGTTTTATATTCTACTGCAGTTTGTTTTTGCCCACCATGCTGTGGCTCTATTTATAGTTTTGAGGGCTAAAAAGTTATAAATGCTGTAATATTCTTTTTAAAAATGCGTTGACAGTAAAACATGAATTAGGTGGCCTTTGCCACTCCTCGTTTTCCCAGACGCTTAATAAGTTTAAAATCATAAAAATGTTAAAGGAGTGCTAGTTAACGTTAGCTGTTAGCAGCTGGTAAGCAGCATCCCAAATGATTTACATTGTGACGCTTTCAGGCTATTCAGCAAATATTAAAGCAAGCAAATATTTTTGCTATTCAGCAAAAAAATAGTACTGGCTGAAAGTAAATTTTAACGTTATTATGATGTGTTCAAATGTCATCATGTATATTAAGTTTTGGAATAAATCCAGTTGTTTGTCGGAGATGTTTTCAGAGCAATATAAATAGATATTAAAGAGGGAATTACAGTATAAGCTGTTTAACTTTCTAACAAAAAAACATACTATTGTAATTCACCTACTGCATGCCTAGAAACTGGCCTGCATCAGTACTCTCCATCAAACAGTCCTATTTTACAGAAAGCTCTCTGAGCTCAGAGTGGTTTGGTAGAGTAAAGATCCCATTTCTGCCTCTGCATTATTAAAGACCGAAGTCCCCACCCCGTTAAAACCCTTCACCTGCACATGTTTTCAGCACTATGTGTAAAATGAATGTGAACGCAGTGGTCTGACTGGGCCAATGTGTGGTGCACATGTATTTTTGTCCTCTTCTGCTCTGCCGTTGTCCCAGTGCGTGAGAAAACCTTCGGGCCAGTTCACATACCCACTTACTCTGTGAGCACTGGAGACACGCAACCCTCAAACCCACCAGGGCCTTCAGACAGCGGCGTTAATGAAGTGTGCTCCCAGAGTCCAGATTGAAACATGTTAAAATAACACAGGAGGATGAAGCTGGATGGATCTTTCTGACGTGAAACTGCTGCAAATACAGAAATGTGCTGCAAGTAGCTCACACGACAATGGAAACTGTTTCCAGGGGACTTTAAAAAGGGATGCACACGGCTGAAATTGAACAAAGCATACTTTTTACTTTTAGTACATGCTGCAGCTGCCCTTACTAAGTGCATACTGTTGCAAGTAGTATGCATGTAGTATGCATTTAATTTGGACATGGTAAATGGACTGTACTTATTACGTATTACGTATTTCTCTTTTCTAGTCTTCTGACCACTCAAAGCTCTTTAACACTACATGTCATCATTCACACACATTCATACACTGATGACAGGGATACCATACAAGGTGTCACCATCAGGATCTAATCATTCACACACATTCACACACCGTAGGCACAGCTACGGGAGCAATTTTTGGGTTAAGTGTCTTGCCCAAGGACACATCGACATGCGACTAGCGGAGCTGGGGATCGAACCGCCGATCCTTTAATCGAAGGACGACCCATTCGCCTTCGGACATAACCTTCCTCATGACATGGCACCTTAAACTTTGACCCAATTGCTCTTATCTCTACTGCGCAAAGGATTGTGGGTCAGAATAGCCAGAAAAGCATGCCGGCTTGCATACAGCAAAATGCGACTGGGTGTTGTAGAACATCCTCCATTTGACATACTATGTATCGGGACACTCTAAATCTTAAATAGTATAGTCGTATGGGTATTGGAATGCACAGCTAGCGGTTAGCCTCTTGCTCATTATTAGCCTGCCATTTCCAATAATCTGATGACATACACACAGTTAATTAATTGTGAAACATGTTAACTGGCTATGACATTAATAGTTACTTTCAGAACCCGTAGTAGGTGACAACAAGTTGGTAGAATTTGCTGACGTGACTAATCAAACCAAACCTCACCCTGGAGTGAGAAAGTAACATTATGTCTGATTTTACATGAAGCATATCTATGATTGAGGGATTGGATTGCCTCAACACAGCTCTCAACACAGCTCTCAACATGGAGATGTCTGAGCCGGCGGCCAGCAGCTAACGGTGCTAGCAGTGGACCGGTTACGTAAGCAAAGCACAGAGAAGCTCAGATTACAACACACAGTGACTTCATTCTCTCCTCCACTATATCTTTACATAGATAATAGCTGTTTGCTGCTATATTAATGCTCTGAAATTCGAATATATCACTGTTAAACATGAGGACATTTTCGATGTGTTACAATGTAATTTAAGGTGATTATCCCTTTAATGTTTCTATGAAAAAAAAACTTGACATTAAAATATATTTAAATTTGACATTGTCATAGTAAGGGTCATTCTGAAGAGGACTCATTTTATTATGAATGTTATAATGTCATTTAACTCAACTGTCCCTTTAATTTTCTCAAAAACAACAGTAAATGTCTTGAAATTTTACGGGGTCATTGTGAACATGACTCCAGCGAAAATGTTTGCAAACATCTGAAGAAAAGCATGTATTTATTTATCTATGTGTGTTTAAAAATAAGGGCATCGTTAATGCGTAAATTGGTGGTCATAGTCAGGAACATTTTGAGCAGAAATCCATCGCACATCTGTTTTATCAAACTGGGACTTCTTCGCTGACGGTTTCATTTGATATTTAAAATGTTACAAATGATTGCTTTAATTAAGTCTTCCTTTGTCGTTTTTGGCCGCTCAAAGTACCGGTACTGTAACAACACATACAGTATAGACGCGCATCCAAATCCAATAGGTGGCTGGCTTTACCGGGTTTATGCAAATACCGGCTCAGCTGTCTCACGGTGCTGCTGATGCACGGTGCTGCTCTGTGTTGCCTGTCGGTGATAGAGAAACCGACTCTGAAATAATTTTTATTTGAACTAATGTAGAACCCGTCACCAACAATAAGATAAACAATTTGATTAATGATATGTGTTACCAAATGATTCAGTGGAATACTAAAGCACATCAGTTAGCGCCAGTATTAAGTGGAATGCTTGTAGACTGCACTGGCAGTGACAGTAGACCTCTCAACCTGTGGAAAATGGTGAAAATGATTTCACACAAAACTTGAATTTGAGCAAAGCGTGAATGCAACTTGAATTTTCTAAATACACATTTTTAATAAACCCTGATAATCATAGTTATATATTTTGCTGATTTTTAAGAAGGTTTAGTGTTTCCATTCTTTTGTGACTTACGCTTTGCACCTTGACCAATTTCAGATCACAAGGCCAGATTTTTGGTGTTGGTGTACATCTTAAATTTCATTTATTTGGAGAAATAAAGTCAGTCCTTCCTGATTCATGGGGACTGAATCCACGGCCTTTATAGCAAGATGTTCAAGCTGGAAAGATACATTACATACACCATCAGACACGTCAACAGTGTTTTAATCTTATTTTTGTTTTTCATACCACTTATTATTTCTTTCTTTATTTAATTGTACTATTTTTGTCATTGTGCTGCTGCACCCACCAGTATCTTATCTCATCTTATCTTATCCTATGTTAGCTTATCTTAGCTTATCCTATCCTAGCGTAGTATGGAGACAGAAAGGCAAGATGCATCATTAGCATTTATTCACCGTGTTGAAGTGTTTTCAGGTTTCTTCCAACATTGACTGATTAGCAGCTGTTTTGTGTTTCCAAAATCAGAGCTCATTTGCAGTTCATTATGTGATATTACACATGAAGGAAAGGAGCTTCCAAAGCTGCAGGGGTTGACTCGGGTAAAGAAACACTTTTCCGTCTGTTTCACTTCTTCCACAGCAAAGGTTTATGCACACGTTGCCCTTTGGATGCTTAATTTTTCAAAATTGGACACTAATTATTTTAGCAATTAAAGCCAAATGTATTTGTTGTACAACCTTTCAAAGCAACATGGTTAACTGGAGTTTTTGTCATTTTTAAGTATTAAGGAGACCCTTTCACCCTAAATTGTAAGTTTGTAGTTACTTTATTTCTTTTTATTATTTACTGACCTTTTCCACTATTTTTCTGCTATATTTTATATCACTTAGATTGTAAATTAAAGAATTTTGTCACAAGGGATGTGGAAGCCTGAGGACACTCAATGGCATCGTGGTACATTTTTTTTTGTATTATAAATTCATGTTTCTTTTGTTACCTCTCAGCCAGGATCTTGACAAAATGCACTCAAACGGACACACCGTACGTACAGTACATACATGTCCAGTTGTGCTTCAACACGAAGCTCGACTGTTAAAGCCTAATTCCCCAAAGTGGAGACAGATGTAAAGATTAAATAGAGCATAGCATGGTTAATGCTGTGGAGCAACAAACTAATAGAATACACTTAACTGTGTAATTTTTCTTTTACATGCAATGTTGAACACACCTTCATTAGAGATGGACAGAAAGGTGGTAACCAGCCAGTTGGGCTATGTTCATGTAGAGTCAATTATCATCTTATTAAATCTTATTATCTTGTCACGTAGCCTTATTATTACTGTTTCTGTACACATCCTTAAAAAGAATAATAGTTTATAATGTATCCCTGTTGCAGATTTTATAGATATATCACACAACAATAATACTGAATACTTAACAACTTCAGACAAAAATTGCTTGCTTTTAGAACTATTGTTGGCCCACAAACACTTGACTGACCATTCTGCCAGGGACCACCAGATCCCACCATTTGTTTTGGTCTGTGTGACCTCATTTATACTTACGATAAGCCACTAAACGTTAAAACCAAGGGGGGATTTTATACACTTTTGGTTACAGCTAGCCACATTTATCTTTGGTATATAGGCTGATATTTCGTATCAGTGCATGTGTTGGCTGATGATTAACAAGACATCGCTGTACAAATTCGAGTAAAAATTGCTGCACAGTACAAGATTGTTTTGAATATGTTAAAAAAAAAGTAATGATAAAAAAAGACAATCGGCATTCTCAGATTTGTTTTATACTCACAAATATGAATATCAGTATCAGCCTCAAAAGTCTGTATCTGGCTGTACAAGAGGCTATGTGCACATCAGGGTTTGCCGCTGAATTTTCTTCCACCACCCCAACCTCTTCCTTTTAGTAATATTGATCAACGTAAGATTTAATGTTCAACTCTAATATGTTTGTTAAGGGGGAATTAGTGCTCCAGCAGAATCCTTGTTGCTGCTCTGATTCATACAGAGAGACGTTGCATTGTCTTTGTTATCAAACAAAGACAATGCAAAATTGCTTTAAACTTGCAGTTTCTCCAATGGCCATCAGGGGGCGACTCTGGTTATATAAATAAATCTGGTTGTATAGAAGTCTATGAGAAAATGACTCTCTTGATTTATTACCTCAGTAAACAATGTAAACATGAGTTTAAGGTCTCAATCTCTAGTTTTGAGTCTTCTTCAATACAGCATGATGCTCATTTAGTAAACTATGGCCCATTTAGAGTCAAATTGGATTGTTATGCTTGAGGGCGAGGCTACCTTGTGATTGATAAGGTTGTTACCAGAGCGTATACGCCATCTGTACGTCTCGCTGCAGTGCAAATATGGTCACTTCTGTTCACTGGTTAACAAATAACAAGTAGGCTACGGCCAAAATCTAAGATGGCGACAGCCAAAATGCCAAGCTTCAAAACAGCACTCCACAAACCAATGGGTGACATCACAGCGACTCTTATATATCGTCTATGGTTGTAAATGGTCTACAACCATCATCCATCAACATCAGGGTGGAAGATTTTTTAGTCTCATAGCAATCACAGTGTTACCTCCGGTGCTGGGTACTGGATCAGTCCCCAGACTATCCTGGTGGTCGGAAGTAGGCAAGCATTGCTTATTCACCTCACTTTAAGTCTCGATGGGGAGGTGAATGGGCCATACTCGCCTCCTTCCCAGTCAGTGAGCAGTGAGTCTGATTTGGTGAAGGGGAATTCTGTGGATTAGCTGGAAACACGATACTCTAAATCCTCTTAAGCATTCTGCCACGAATCGGTGCACCCGCACACGTCAAGGCCGTACGGGTCTTGGACAGATACTGCATCGACAAATACCACTTCTTCATTCATACTTGTTGTAACATGTTTTCTTTTATATCAACAGATTTAGCAAACTGGCCCCCATGTTCCTTGACCCAAACTACAAACGATTCTCCAAGATCGGCGATTATTCCCCCCCGTTTGGGGTAAAATCACAAGGTATGATTACACTTTCTTGTCTTTACAGTTGTAGGTAATTCACACAACTCTTGTAAAAATTTACAAGAGCCAAAGAGTGTCTCCTGGGTGCCTGCAGCTACCAACACCTTTGAAACTGTTCAATCTGCAGACAAACGTACTGATTTTAGATCAGTCATCAGTGCAACATACAGAAGCAGCATGTTTAAAAGGCACTAAAAGCACTCCTATCCCCGCACAAAAAAAGAACCCCACACAAAACAGCATTGGCAGTTCAATTCAAAGCACCTCGTAGTACCTGAGCATGTCAAATTTTACCCATTCATTAATTAAATTGTTTTCGAAAAAACCTAAATCAACACATAGAATTTAATGATGTGTTCTGGCCACAATTTTGGCTTTGTGTTGAATGAAAAAAGACGTTGCTTGAAAATGTTTGGATAGGCCTTGTTGGGAATAAACACTTTCATTGATTTCTAATGGCACCTTTTGGTTTTATTTTAATGCTTTACCAAAATAATGGTATGTTTTTGGTTAGAATATCTTAATTTGTGGAGTTTTCAAAAGAAATATTGCTAAATGTGTTTGTTTTGAATTAAATCTGCATTTTTCGGATTTCTGCCACCCCTTAAGGTTTTCATGCCACCACTACATATTAGGTTTAGACCTTTTAGTGTTGTCGAACTTTGGACGGAGCCAGGCTAGCTGTTTCCCCCTGCTTCCAGTCTCTATGCTAAGCTAGGCTCACTTTGTGCTGATCCTTGCTTTACACAAAGATCTGCGATTGATATCCATCTTCTCATCTATCTCTCAGAAAGAAGCAAAAAAAAGGTGCATTTCCATAAAAGTGGCATTATTTATTTTTACTGAACTTCTTGAGCTTGTCGGCTGGCTTTGCGTCTCGAGCAACAACACAAGTCAGTGTATAGAGGAGCTATTGGAGCGTGCCTAATAACAAATTGCCATTCAGGACTCACTTCCCTGCTGTAGAGCAGATGATCAGATTTTATTTTGGAGCACCGTGCTTCATGCTGTCATGGCTCTCTGCAGGTTGCCTCTCATCAGGCAGAGGAATGTGTTGTATAAAAAGGCTTCTCCCTTTCTCTTCAAAGCCCTCCCATTCTGCCCAGTGTCTCACACTATATGCATCGCTCCCTCCAAGGACCTAGTGGACTGTCTATGGGCTCCCACCTTGCTCAGCCACCCATCTGTAACGCTTGTATAACATTGTGACATGAAGAAGTGTCGGCCCACCCAGCCGCTGGCTCCCAGCCCTAACTCATTTATCACATCCAACGTGTGTGCAGGAGATGAGGGCATCGTCGCTGGATGGAGTGTGGAGGGGGAGAATTATTTATCTTTCTTCGTCATCTCACTTGTTTTCTCTGTCTGCTTCTGTCTCTCTCTCTCTCTCTCTCTCTCTCTCTCTCTCTCTCTCTCTCTCTCTCTCTTTAACCTGCAGAGAAGATCATAGATATTCTCCTGTTTGCTACTAAGAGCTATGGCCTTGGGGAAGAACTCGACAGGTGAGTCGGCGCCCGTTGTCCCGTCATGCTCTGATCCACTTAGTGCAGTCATCACAATTTTCCCTTCGGAAAGTCAGTGTATAACATTTGAGAGTGCACACACATTCAGGAGCTTTAAGACCAGTCCATTAAAAATCGCTTTATTCACCAAATGTATTTGTTTTCATCAGGGCCGTGTCTGAGGGTGTTTCCACTATTTTAGTTCATCAATGACACTTCTGTACTGTGTTGTATTCCAAAATCAAACCGAATATTTGAATGGTGTACAGTTTACAAGAGGGATTTAAATCAAATCCTTTGCATTTGATTGCCGTGCTAAAAAGTGGGCGGGCTTAGAATGTAGCCGGAGGACTACCTCGTGCAATCAGACCTTTTCAGATGTGACTATCACTAATAGTTCACTGATAAAAGCACTGTTTACATGACTGGGGATTATACAAAGAAGGCCAATTTCTTTTTAGATGCTTCAGAAACAGGAGGTCTTAAAAATCGACATTTCAGTAAATATTTTGCAGCCAAATCAAATAGTTTACAGGATATTCAAACTTTGTTTCTTTATAATGCATGCAATACTTGACATCTTTCTTTACAGTTCTTGTATAAAGGTAATAAAGTAGTCCATGAATATGAGATATGAGTTTACAGATAATTACAATCCCTCTTCGTCATAGTGGTGGACGTTGGTTTATGCCGTTTTGCCGGTTACACTTAAAGTCTTTTTGATTCTTCACAGTTCATTTTGTTTTTTTCTGCCCTCTGGAGTTTTGGAGAATAATGCAATGACCAGCACGCTGAACATAAACGCCTCCGTTCATGCTCGAAGCTGGCACGGCGTCTGCGGAGGCTCACACTACAGCGCCAAGCGCGAGTACAAACACAGCTTTTGCCGCTAAAAGCAGCAGAATTATTGATGGATGTGTGTCATGATGTTATTGGTTAAAATTGGTCGGTACTAGCTTACATAAGCATGCAACATATGTTGTTATAAAGGAAAAGAGATGATTGGATTTGTATTTCAAAATAAAACATTTTCTTTGCATTTCTTGTTAAATAGGTGCACAATATGACCATGGGTGTGATCCAAAGGAGTTTAAAAAAAAAAGTTTTTATTTCATCTCGACTTAAATTCACCCTTAAATTATAAAGTATAGAAAACTACACAGTCATCATCTTTTAAGACACGAGTGTACAAGAAAAATACAAACGCCAATAAATACAAAACATACAGCAAAACAGACAGCTTAAAAATAACTTTATTCATAACTATATTCATTTCATTAATGGGTAAAAAGGTTGAATCTCCATTAAACAATACATTAAACAAATTTAAAAGACACAGACACTTGAATCTCTTTCATCTCCTACTGTGTGTTTATGTATAACCTGAACTAACTCCTTTGCCAACCATCAGCTTACTGAAGCTCATATTGTTTTCAAAAAACTGCCCTTTTTTGAGAAAGCATGAACTCCACTGCATTTTACCAAAATGGTTTCAAATGTAGTTCTTCATTTGACCCTCTTGGACTTAAAATGCCTGAGGTGGAAATCAAAAATCCTCTCTTCTTCAGCGGTAGCTCCTCTAAATCTGCTGCTTCCTCTCCATATATTTGACTAAACCATGTGTTATAGATTCCAAACTAACTCTCTGTCCATGTGCCCTGAATGTCCAACATTCATGACCGGATCCCAGATCAGTTGCTTAAGTAACAGCGTTGTTTGACTCCACTTTGTTTTTTGTCTTTATATGGAGCTCATCAGTCTGGCGGACACTGCGAACCGACCCTGTTTCATCAGCCAGCTAAAACAATTAGGAATGTGTTTATTTTTCCACCCAGAATTAAGCAGCGCAGACTGAACACTGCACACATGCTGTACTGAGACTACAACATAATATTATGATCATAATATCATAAAAGTGTGACACATTGTTAACTGTTAATGCCTAAGACAGTCATTTACTTGAGTATAAATACTGACTAAAGAGCTGTGGCATTAATAATCCTCAGAAATCTTAGTTGTCTATATTAAAATATCAGCGGCTGCAATGAAGAATGAATGAATGTAAAGAGTTGGTTGAATTTCGTTCCAGCAGGTGGTTTGTTTTATTTTTTATTTTTTAAATTTCCTGGCAAAAACAACATCGCCGACACAAAAGAATGTGTTTTCAGGTTTATACTGAAATGCACCAATCGGAATAATTATCCAACAATACTTTGCTAAATATCAGTCAGGACAGTTTATTGATGGTGTAAAAGAGCAGGATCATCTTCAGTAACTGAGTTTAAGAAGGCCACCAGTTAAGGATTCATTCATTTTATTCATGTTTAGTCAGTGAGGCAAACATATTTGTTTCAACACACACCTGTTAGTGTCTTGAAAAAAAAGTATGGGGTAAATGACTGGAGTAAAGTAGCACCTCTCTGTGTTACAGCATGAAATGCAAGACTTGCATCGTCGTGGGGAACGGAGGAATCCTGGCCAACAGGTCTCTGGGACAGAAGATCGATGAGTTCGATGTGGTGGTCAGGTACGTGGGGACGCAGACGTACGATACAGACCGGACGCACTTTATGGAGACTTTTTTTTTCTGGAGTCAAGGGTCTTTGTGTCAAAGACTAGATGGGTCATAATTATGTTAGTGTAAAAGAGAATTAAATAAACAAATCAATTAATAGAGTACACTGTGGCCTAATTGTAACGCCTAGTTATATAAGTTACTGTCTCATCAGTTGTAACATATATAATAGGGTAAGAGTGGGAAAATATATAATAATGGGGAAACCTGGTGAACAACTGCCCCAATACCACAATCCAAAGCAAAGGTCTGAACATTGCGTCAGAAACAAACTGCACAAAGTTGGGTTTTATTTTAATAAGAAATGCTGTCGTTGTTATTCATGTAATATATCATTGTGGAGCTCTTTTTGCGCTCTTTATGGTGGAGCTAATTATAGGCACATTGGAGCAATATGAAGTCAGTTAGAAGAGCATTTTTACAATTTGCCCTATTGCATTGTTAGAGGTCAAAGGTCACATTCTGTAGTCCTCAGTGTCATTTAACTGTGACTGGTAGATAGATTAGAGTCAAAGCTTTAAAGGGACATATGAATTGATGATATTCTGTGTTGTTACCCTCTTTTACACTGGCTCTTTGTAAAATGATAAACAATAAATAAAGAAGGATAAAAGAGTGTGTAATGATGCAGGCATTGAGGAGAGGAGTGATAGCTCATGGAAAGCTACCACTGCTGCAATGATGCATGCATCATGTATACATCACTATGAGACCTGGTGCCTCCAGAATTGGTTACGATGGACACATTTTGGGGTTCTGGCTCATGTTAGCTACACTCTGAAATGATGTGACGTAAATAAAACAATAGACCACATTAGGTTTGCTAAGACTTGTGTGAACAATCAAACTTAAAAAGCTTGGCTGAACATTAAGGACCTAGCTTACTTCTGACTTTAATCCTCGACCCACAGTTAGCCCTGTTTCTGGTACTAGAGGCGGGGCCTCCTAGTTATCCTGCACCGGAACCACCTGAAGATCTTGGTGGTGAGTCTAATAGATCACCACTCACCACCATCGGGTCCCACATCTAAATGTTTAGGACTTTAACTACAACGGCCTTCAAATAGATCCTCGGAATATATGAATAGAGTTGGAGTGGAGTTTTATTTATTTATCTCAGTGGATAGTGAAATGTATTCTTATTATCTTCTCCAGGAGGATCATGTGATGTTGCACGTGTGCATGAGCACCATTCTAGTTTGGATAAATAATAGCTTATTGATTTATTTTATTGCCCACTTAAAGCTTTAAGGAGAGGTATCTATGTTTTTTATTTGATATTCATTTATTAAATACATTTCTTACTTTTCATTCATTTATTTACTTGTTTGTGTATTTTATTAACATAATCATGACACATCTGTCCGGTATCCAAAGACCGAGGGTAAAATGTGTGTACAAATTCTAAAGCATTGATGATGGACCATATATATACAGTATATATATATATATATATATATATATATATTATTTGATTATTTTGGGCAGGACATTTCATGATTGATTTAGCAGCTGTGTGTTGCAGGTTGAACGAGGCCCCGGTGAGGGGCTTCGAGAGAGACGTCGGCTCCAAGACCACCATGAGGATCACCTATCCAGAGGGGGCCATCCAAAAGACAGAGCGCTACGAGGCTCAGTCCCTATTTGTCCTCTCGGCCTTTAAAGCTCTGGACTTCAAGTGGCTGAGACACATGGTCTTCAACCAGAGGCTGGTAAGGCAACAGCGAATGCAGCTGTAGCCAGGCAGTGATGGGGGGGGTGTACAGTGAGAAGGTTTTTAATGCACATTTCTGATTTGTATGATTTAAAACCTGAGTGGAAACACCAAGAATTCACAAATATCACGACAAGTCAGAAACTTTTCTGCACCAATCAAATGTGAAAATATGTTGAAGTAGAATTACATTTATGATGTTTGCATAGGAATACTAACCTACCAACTTGGCAACACTGTAATGTGTCGGGGCCTGCATGTGAGTGAGGGGGCTTGGATAGCTACACAATTCATATTTTAATTACATATTTGGACAGTAGAAAAAAATTCTCTGTGGCTATAGCCCAAACGCCAGACCCTTAACATGCCCCAGGTAACCCTGTAGCATCTGATCAGAAATATGTTTTTAAGCCCGTAGCAGATTTGGGTTTTGCCCTCTTGTCCACACCCAAATAGTTTTAGGTCACTAAAACGGATATGTTCGCCTGATTATTAAAAACTCCGGTTCCTTGGACTTTCATCACTTTATATTGTAGAGTGACACTGAGCAGCAACTCCACTTCGGTGACGTCACGATGACTGCGTCCACTTCTTGTATACAGTCTATGGCTACAACACAACAGATGTTGAGGATGACTCATTTTCATTCCTGCCACCTAAAAGAGGCAAAACATTTGAAGTTACATAACACACAAATTAAAGGGTAGGAACTATTACTATAGTAACAGCATTACTAATCTTGAAACCTATATTTTTGTTTTACCGTGGAGGAGAGTTCATAGAATGAATGTTGACCCGACAACTCTGGTACGTTTTAATCAAGGCCAGAATAATCTGGGCGGCTTTGATTTCAACTCAAGAATCCCCAACAATGCCAAAGGAATAATAGACCAACAGCAGAACATTTTTCAGTTAAATTCGATTTCTTTAGGTAATAGCATAGTAAGTAAGTAGCGAGGCGATTTACAAAAAGATCAGAGTGATGCTCCTCATTGCAGGTACTCACTTTCAGAAACCTTAGATTGTAGTAGAGAGTGAGGGTTACCTTTGTGTGTGTGAACATAATAATCACATACCTGTTTATGAATAGTGTCCCACTGTTTAAGCTTTTAGTAGTTATTGTAAGCCTCAACATCGACCCAGCATACCAAGGTTGCCTCCTCCACTGCTGTGGCTACAAGCTTTATGGTCCTACATGCATGAGTGGGAATGTAACACATTCCTGCAGCCCGAGTCACAACATACCTACTTTGTACTCCCTCTCCGCTCCGCCCTGACGGGGGAAACAAACCCGGGGTCAAATGCTCATAGAGGTCTAAATAGATCCAAAAGGAAGTAATGGCTATGATCAGCTGGTCGGTTATCTGGAGCAGACTCACTCTTCTGGTCTTGTTGAGCAACAAACGCACAGTCCACCTGTTTGGACAGAGTGGTCTGTATCAGTAAGCTTTACACATAGTGAGCTCTGGAGGGAGGGGACAGGAATTGAATACACTCATCTTTTTGTTTATCCATCGGTTTACCAGCAAAAATACATTCTTAAAAAAACAGATTTGGAAACGTACTTCAGGTATACCTTATATATCTTATTCCATTGCTTAATTTTGATTGATGCACCTTTTGGAGAAGTGGTAGCAACTTTGACTCTCAGTACTGAGAATCCCCCCCGACGTCTAATGCACGCCTATCTGACTCCAACCAGAGAGTGGGGAGTAAGAGACCTCAGCTCCGATGCACATCAGAAAGCAGCTATCACTCCGCTGCTGCACCAGAGGCCAGAGAAGCAAGCCAGGGCTCCGTGTGGCTGACTCCGGGGTGGTCCTAGTCCTGGATCATGTTTCGCCTCCACTGACAGGTGGAAGTCTGTACGCTGTTGCAGCTGTATTGCTGCATCCCTCACCCTTTGTTGTCATCAACAGGCCCGTGTCTGTGTCACAGTGGAAGTGACTAACACTGATTTTTTTAGCTATTGCTGCCATCCACACCATGCTCCATCCCATTTATCTCTGGGACCTGAGGCCTATTTTTTACACCGCAAGTCTATCTTTTTATTTTTACACATGCATTTAAACATGCTTGTAGAACCCACATACTTCAAACATTTTCATTGCCGAGCAGCCAGAAAACAGAAAAGAACATCGCTCCTTAAAAACTGCTTTCTTCGTGCATATAAATGAATGTAGTTGAATGGTTAGTTATTTGTGGTTTCATCTGGAATCTTTCCCACAGTCAGGAATCAGAAAACACACGTGAATACATGATTTAGTATTAATTGTGTACAGTAGATCTTGTGTCGGTGCATCCATAAGGGCCTCAATACTGCATTATTATGGTCCAACAATGTCTGACCCCCCCCCCCCCCCCCACACACCCCTTTACACTTTCCTGACAGCAGAATTGTCAAAGAAAAGACGATCCAAAGCTCCCTTTTTTGTCTTTGTTTTTCTCACACGTCTTCTTCCGTCACTTTTTGTGTGTGCAACTGAGTTTGTACGATTCATTGAGCCAAAGCTACAGAGACACACACAGACAGAGTGGTTGGCGATGGGCCAGAGAGGTAATGTGAGGCTGCCTGGAGGAGGTTTGGACAGCAGGCTTTTCACCACGAAGTCCAGCGTGGACATCTAGGACGGATTTTCAAACAACATACAGAGTCTACTGAAGTCTTAAATCTCCTCTCCTCTGTAATCGCCCATGTACGTGGTCACTAGCATTGGCAGAATGGTTCTCTGTTAGCAGTGTGTAAAGGTAGTACAAGCGTACTGACTGCAGCTTAGTTGGTAAAACGGTTAGTCCTTTTAACTACAAGTTTGGTGGTTCGATCCCCGGCTCCTCCTGTCCTTGAGCGAGACACTAAAGCAAGACACTGAACCCCAAGCTGCTCTCCGGGTGCTTTACAGCAGCTCACTGTCAATGCTTAAGATGGGTTACATGCTGAGATCAAATTTCGTGTATGGACCTGTATGTATATGGAAAATTAAATAGTTGAATAAAACAGTAATGGTGTTAAAGGACTTTGAAGCTGATGAGACCAGCTTCATTTACAACAACACTTCAGGGCGGGGGGGATTAGGTTCCCTCCCTTAGAGCAGGGGAGTGCAGACAGCACACCAGTTAATGGACACACACACACTGATAGGGTATGAATGGGCAAGTGTTGGCTGGAGGAAAACAATAAGATACTATTGATGCTATAAGACAGTGATTCTCAACTGGTGGGTCACGAATCAAAAGTGGGTCGCGGACCCGTTTTCAGTGGGTTGCGGGCCTTTGCCTGACAAAAAAAAAAAAAGGGATTTTATTTTGAAGGGCATTTTTTATTCAGCGGAATTATTCCAGCATTTACGGCACTTGTTCAGCGGTGCAGGAATCACACCGACCAATGCGTTGTGAATCACATGTGATGCAGCTCAGCCAATCAAATATGGGTATTCTGACAAGTTTCCTGGCTTGAGTGAGATGTACACACACGTGACACACGGGGCTGAGACGAGGATATAGACAGCAGAGCAGGACTATTGAGGTGTGAGTTGTGAAAGTCAAATCATAGGATGATCTCCAAAAGAGAAAAATGGCCAGAGAGACCAGAGTCATTAGACTGACTGGACAGACTCATATCGGTGAATTCTTCCAACACTAATTTCTCTTTTTAGAAGATGAGAAAAATATAATATTGTGGCTTTATCACTTCACCCTGAATGAACTGAATTTAAAGCTGCAGGGCAATTCAGTGAAAATTATTTTGCTAAAATGAATTTTGTTACGTAATTTATTTTTTAATCCAGCTGTTATTTTACTTGAAATGAGAAGAACATTTATTTATGTATTTCTATGTATTATTTATAATCCATCCAGTTAAATTTGAAAACTGAGAATAATAATTGTTAAAATATAATTGATGTGTACTTTCTTTATTTGATTTGGCAGTTACTACACAAAGACGTTACTACTACTAGACTTCTTGAATATAAATATACCCAAATTATATATATATATACATATATATATATAATTTGGGTCGTGGCTTGTCATTAAGGGTTGATGGTGGGTCCCGCAGCCAGACTAGTTGAGAACCACTGCTATAAGATAAGGAAAGAGGCAAATCAGACACGAGAGCTGGCATTGTGCTGTACTGTTAGGACATAAATGACTTCCATAATTCCATAACTTCCTTGGATGGCGTATTATCCACAGAAAGCATCAACACATTTTTACATTATATTAGAGGAGAATAACTCTGCATATCTTATCTTAGAATCTTTGTAAGTTTTATTTTTTGTAGAATTACTTTTCAATGATAAAACAAAGTGCCTGCAGCCGTGCTAGCAGCTCTGTGAAACTGTACTGAATGCTAACATCAGCATGCTAACATGCTCACAATGACAAGGCTAACATGCTGATGTTTAGCAGGTAATATATAGCAGCTCAATTCTGTATGGACTTTGCTTGGCAGAACAACTAGTGTGGCTGCAGACAAATTACATATATACTAAACTTTGTTACTCTTTGTTTAAGTTCCTCTTTGTTTAAGTTACTCTTTGTTTAAGTTCCTGTGGAAAGGGTTGTACATGAATAGAGCTGCAATAGGGAAGTGCCTTAAACCTGCATTCTTTCTAATGGCCAACAGGAGGCGACTCCTCTGGTTGCAAAAAGAAGTCTGATTGTATAGAAGTCTATGAGAAAATGACTCTACTTCTCTCTTGATTTATTCCCTCAGTAAACATTGTAAACAAGAATTTATGGTCTCAATCTCTAGTTTCAAGTCTTCTTCAATACAGCATGATGTTCATTTAGTAAATGATGGTCCATTTAGAGTCAAACAGACCATAAAGCAGGGTATGCTTTAGGGCGCGGTTTGAAAACGGAGAAGGCAATCCAAAGAGTTTGTGGGTGAGTCTCTGTTTGCGTGGACAACCTAGGTAAACCAAATAGCCTCGGCTACACCCGGTGTTACATTAACAAAATGAATGGAGCTGAAGTTTTGGCGAACATATTACT